AAACAAGAATAACAGAGCACCAAAGGTGCCTTAAAGCTTACCATTCTGGTTTTGTTGCTCATGCCCTGGAGTATGGTCATTACTTCAACAACAGTGATGTAACGATGATCGATCTACACCGGGACAAAGTGATGTTAATCAAGGAACCGCTTCACATCGCTGTCGGCAAAAATAAAACTTGTAACAGTTTCGTTGGCTGCAATGACATTCCCGCGGCATGGAGAATGATTAATATCCTAAATGGCGACCGGCCTGGCGTCCGATCAGTCGAATCAAGTACTTACTAACCCAGAAGTTTCTTTTCTTTCTTGTTTATTCCTGTTGATGACTGATGCTAATTCGGTCGAAACATTGGAATTTTTGCAAATAAATATTTTTCTTGTTTCTCGTGCTGCCAACCATGAAATCAAAAGACTTATCACCTCAAAGCTATTTCCTTTACGACTGATGCTTCGAGAAAAAACAAATAAAATGACTGATCCAATACTTCTGGGCATCACCTGTTTGACAGTCTCCCATTCAGCACAGATTAAACAGTGTTTCCAGCCATGCAACAAAAAATTCCAATAGTAGTAGATTGTTCAAACAAGAGACCACAAAACACAGCTCCACATATCTGGCAATATAATGGGCAAAACGGCCAAACAGTCACAAACACAGGCATAGGATGTTTCGAGAAATTTAAGGTATCAGAGGTTAATACAATCGCAGTCTGTGCATGCAGTCGTGCACATATTATCGACGTGCGTGTTATGTCTAAACTGCACGACAAAGTTTTCCAACATCAGTTCATCTAACACAATGAACCTCAAGTCGTTTAGCACGGTTTGGGAAATTCCGGTAGCAGGATCAATATCCGTCGAGCCACCGAAGATGACCAGACATCTATCCTGGGATTCGCGCTGCAGAATGGCCAGCGCGCATCCGCACCGTTCGCCAACCGTGTTTAGAAATTCATCCCAGATGTCGCCCGAACGGTACCACGCATCCGCATCACGGTCGAACAGCCACAAGTCGTTCAATTCCCAGTCGTCCCGACTCTTGCCGGCAAAAACGAGTACTCGGCTGCCGTCCACCGCCGTGCACGCATGAAACGCTCTTGCGGAGGGGCAACCCTTTACCGGGTCGAGGGTGCACCAACCGTTTCCGGAAAAATCGTACCTTAAAGTGGAATTCGTAAAACTGCCACTTTCGTCGAATCCGCCGAAAATAAACATGCCACCATCAACAGCAGCAGATGAGCAAGCGGATTTACCAAAAGATTGAGAATATCGGTGAACAGGTCGGCTAGCTTCTATCCAAGTATTTTCTCCGGGGACGTAGATATTCAAATCCGCCAAATGACAAAAGCTGGACAGTAAATCGTACTGCATTACAATCGCCGCTTCTTCTCTGGTGCGTTCCGCTGCAGCAAGTGATTCGACATCATAATCAGCATGGTCAATTAAAGAAATTCCACCGTACAAATACAATTTTTCAGCATACGCTGTCAGAGTGCAAAAGAATCTAGGCAAAGGCGGAGTTGAGCAACTAACTTCGATTCTTCGCCAGGACTTGTTTCTCAGGCTATATTCATACAAATCACTGCTGGTACATCTGGCATTAGTCAAACCCCCAAAAACGTATATTTTCTCCTTTAAATAACACATGCCGGCACCGATTCTACCGCAAGGGACCATACCTCTTCCTTTGAGCAGTTTCCACCCATTAGCAAACGTAAAGCACCACAGTTCGTTGTGAAAGTTGTTCTCAAAATCGGACCCACCAAAAACGAACAACCTTGTTTCATCGGAACAGGAGCAAAAGTTTTCCAGAGGCATCGGACGGTCAGGCTGCATCTCACGTATCCGGTTACACCTTCAAAAAAGCAGACTTAGGCGTTATGTCACTTAGCAGAGCGGCAGCTAACTATTCAATAAAAAGCGAGTATCTTCTCGATAAGACCAACAGAACCGTAGGACTGAATACAAACGAGACAAAAAACATCTAGTGATTTAATTCTGTTGGTTGTGATCGTTCAACGCCGCTGATGAGGTAATGCACTAGGTAATACCCTACGAGGTAAAAAATTTTTCACAGTTCTAATGTAGGCATTATCTGAATGACAGTGTTGAATGATTCACATATTTTTCTTATTCTTATGCAGTCACTGCATGTTTGCATGCAGTTGATACAGATGGTAACACCAGGCGAAACACTGGTCCCGGGCAAAAATCCAGGAAGTAATAAAGGTTGTACTTAACGCAAGAATCACCAACTAACGGTGATACCGTGTTTATGAGGTCGGCTTTGAACCCTGAAAATGTCTTGTTCGTATAAGGAAACAAAATTTTCTGAACCTCTAATTCCCTTCAGCAAAGAATTCACTTTACACTGATTGGGTGCAACTGATCGAAAAACAGGCAATCAAGTCGTTGACGTTCGAACAACAGAGACAACATGGTTTTCTGGCGTAAACATTTCGGTACCGTCATACAGTTTGACAAGAGCGTTGTGACTGCATTTGGCTATAACTCACCTGACCGCTGACTATCAAGGGTGAAAACTTGTAAGG